TTCATCTTAGATGCTTTCAGAGAAGATTAAAAATAGCTCATTACCTTGTTGTAAATATCGATAGACCCTGAGCCCCACCAAAGTGCTGTACTATTATCTGTTTCCTCCAATAATGCAGCAAATACAGATCTAGTAACAGAGGAGAAAGCATTCCAGCAGAGGCCCCCCGTATTCCAGCAGTAGCAAATTTTTTGCTGAGTTCCTTAGGAAGAAGGAAAGAAAACATCCTAGTCAATCTCCATGAAAATAATTTGCATCACTTGTGAACAGCCCACCTGGAGCCTCCTCAGATTTCAAGTCTGCAAGAAGGGAATTTTGGAATTTGCTCCAGAAACTTCTGAAAGTCAGAAAAAAAACAGAAAACCCCTGAGAACAATGGCAAAACATAACATGGGCAGAAAAACACTGTAGGACAAACTCAGTATCAGGATCAAATACTTATTAGCTTATTGTAAACTGATAATAAGAGATTTTAGACTCATCAGATTTATAATTCTAAGGGCCAGCTCCTTACAGGTAAGATGCTGGCTTCTCTACACTAGACCTGGCCCTGAAATGGTGTAAAGGTGACAGTTTGTTCACATCAGCACAGATCCCAGTGGGACATTTCTTTGGTGAAAGGTGGCTAAGAATTCCACAGTAGCTACCCTGAGTCTGACCCTGCTTTATCAAAGTCAACATACAGCTAAAGCATACAGAAAACATGTATCAGTTATTGTGCACCAAGCCTCTTAGAACCAGATATACATCCTTTGACATGAAAGCAAGGTTTTCAGTCCTGTTTTTAAGGCAAGAAGTTTTATAACAACTTCTTCATATTCAGAGGTTAAATTTCCTATTTGTGAAGTGCTGAGATTATTTGTACATGCGTTACTCAAATAGATTTAAAAAATCTTATTGGTGTGTATAAACATATACACCCCTCCTTTATGTATATGCATTTGTTTATGAATAGAGCATTTTTTAAAAATCATAACTTCTTTGAAATGTACTTACAAGTTTCAAAAGATGCCATTCATATGATAAATGACTAAATTGCAAGTTCTTAAAGTGGTAGTATGGCAGTAAGAAATAGATCAAAGACTTCCCAATGCTAACATGCATGAGTAATAATGGTATTTCCTATCCTGTAATGCATGACATGGTTCTGATCCACAAGGCTTCACATTTTTTTGCCTGCACACAGGCACGCACAAGCTCACAGAGCAGATGTGAAAGTCACAAGTCTCTAATGTAATTCATGCTCCAGTTCAGCAACTGTGAGGGTATGCTGAAGACAATGCTGTGACTAACACAGCCAAGAAATTCCTGAGAGACTAAGAATGATTGTTAACAGTTCTGAGAACCTCTTCCTCTGGGTTATTATCCCATAGAGAGAGATAGTGCATTTTAGCGGTCTTAACCAAACAAACAACTCTGAGAAACTAGATATATTCCCTCTGAGACTATAGCGAATGAAAAATAAAAAAACATCTTATGTTAAAAGAAGTCTGAAGCATTCATGACATTGTCAGTGAAGTACTTGCACTTCTTCCTGCTTTGTGCATCAGGTCAGAGTTTCCATACTCCCAAAGGAAACTATGCATTGGCTGAAAAAAGAGAAAGTCCTATTTACCCTACTATTATCTTTTCACAACTGGTTTGATTGAACAGGGTAAGGCATGGGCACATGCAGTGACTATATTACTGCCACCAGAAAACTGCAGTAGCAACTCAAATGGGTGCCTCTTTAAATGATTTACATCTAGGACAGCCGGCTCACACACACCAAAGTAACTGAAAGGGAAGTTGCTTGACAACTCTCTTTTCTTGTAGCTTTCTCCAACTCCTTGAGCTAGCTGGCAAATGAAAGATGTGATCCAGTCCCAGGGCACTGAAAGCCAGAAATAAAGTAAAAAGCTACGTGACTAATGGCTTAAGATCATTTTAAGATTTCAGAAGTGTCAGCCTCCTTTTTTCTACCACCACCTCCTTACATTGCCTAAAGCAACTCTGCCATCCTAAAGCGGGTTAAACAAAGTAACACTTTCTTACATACATGAAGTAACGAGCAGTAACTATTTCCTCAACTGCCTCTCACGCATTTTAAGCTGTATCCAAGCAAATCAAGTTAACAAGGTAGATGGGGAGAAGAAAGATAGTTTTGTGACTAAGAAGCAAGGCTACAATTCAACCATTGGTACTCCCACAGACTTCCCAGCTCAGTCTTCTGTGCTGCTTTTGTCTCTGAAAAAATACTACCAGTAAAAATATTTCTAATATCTAACCTTTTAAGTGTTCTGTGTTATGTTTCTTAGTGTGCTGAGACAGTGATTAGCACAATTAAGCACTGACTGCAGGCTGAAGTTTATTACCGGTGCATTACTGTGGCGCTCTATTTGATTGTACATAGCATCAGAACATCCCTTAAGACAACATTTGATAGCATCACTCATCTATCTGCATTGTCATACAGTCCAGATGGTTGCAGTATGTAGGCAACCGGGAACCAGAGCAGCAGGAGGAGTACATCCTGCTGCAATTTTCCCTCTGGTGCTAATCTTGATGCATTTGGATTAGTCTGTTGGTTAGGAAGTCTACAGCTCTGCGTAGATGGACCCAAAGATCTAGCAAACAAAATAAACCAGAGCAGCTGCACTCAGTAGCTTGCCAAGTATCAAATGGCCAAATTTGCCCATAAAAACCTCGGTAAAAGATTATGCAGCTCAGCTGAGTGACATTTCCCTGCTATGCAGTGTGAATTTTCTTCTGAATTTCACAAGGGCAGCATTCTGTTGCAAATGGGTCTGTTATTAAAGATCAACTCAGAAATCTGTGTACTTTAGCAGATTAACTATTACTATGATGTACAAACCCAGAGACAAAGAGGAAACAAGACTTCTTCCATTTGGCAAATGCAATTTTATTTCTAGATTAGTTGTAAGAGTTAAAATTTTAAACATTCTAACATGTGTACCCTGCCAGACATGTTAATCGCCACACTGGAATAATATTGCAAATGAAGAAAGTCAACATAATTAATCATCTCCATATAAGTAGAGTTCTTAGGAATATAACTTATTTTCCTGTGTTACAGAATGGAGGGTTTCCAAACCTTGAAAAGTCAAGACTTCAGTGGGAATTTCTTATGCCAAAGGACTATAAACTGGCTCTCATTAGTCCAGGTAAGAAAAACTAAAACACAATATGAAAAACAGAATACAAACTGGCAGATACAAGGAAGGAAGACAACAGCATTTCTAAGGAGATATCTTGATAATATAAAGAAATTAAATAAGTATGATTACAGTTGTAGATTTAGTAAAGTCAGGTTAGTATATATTTTATGGTCTTGAGGAATTTATTTAAACATATAGTCACCAAGAGCAAAGTGTTACCCTTAGCAACTTCCTGCAAAGTTTAGTCAGATATATAGTCTCACTGAGAACCAAGTACATAACTGCAGACTGTGAATCACACCCAAATTTTGCACCCATGACTATATGAGGGAGTAATTTTTGCCACCAATACAAATACTCCATAGTACAACTGTGACTACACATAATGACTTTATCTGGACTACTTGCTAGCTATTTACTTTGCTGGTAGAGAAGATTCTTTATACTGTATCAGCATCACCAAAATTGTTCCTTATAGTGCTAGCACTCCTGATATTACTGGTCGTTCCACCAGCAGGGTTTTTATACTCACAACAACTCACAACTGAGCAACAGAAATGGGCATTAAAGAGCGCTACAAGAATATGAGTGAGAACAGAAATTACCTATATACATTCCCATTTCTTCATGGAAAAATCACTATGTACTGAGTAAAAATATAATCTTTTTCACACCCAAACTGGCCTGTGAACGTGTAATCACAAGTGTTGCATGTGGGAACAGACATCTGTGTTCTATCTTCATTTGTCATTTTGGTGTCTATTTCCAGGAAAACTGGAAGATAATTTTCAAAATTTGGTCCCCCAAAAAAGCAAAAAAATAGATTGAGTTCTCACAGACCAAACTGTGCTCACTGGCTGTCCTTCTCAATGACCTTGCAAAAATTTCTTGCTGTATGTCTATAGAATAATTTGAAATTACTCAAATTACCTGAAGAATCTGAGATCTCTAAGTTCAATTTACAGGCGTGATTGTTCACATTTCTTTCAAATACAGAAGCATTTCATGTGGTTATTAATTTCCTATTAATTTACAGAGCAGCAGGTTTCTGCAGGGGAAAGACTTCATTTCTCCATTGTAGCCTTCTTCAAAAAAATGTCCTACAGTAAAAGAGATAGTAAAATAGATGCTGTTAGCTGTAGTGCAATTTTTAGTCTTTCTGGTAAGCACAGTTTTATATAACTAGATCTCAGTTGACCCATTTTGATTTGTATTATAAGTAATAATTGAGAACAACACAAATACCCACATGCAACAAGAAATCTTACTTTAGTTGTTCTAGAGATCTATGATTGTACCTACAGTAAACTGAGTTTGTGACACAAGGATAATTTTGGGACAAACCCATTGTATAGTGACAAGTTAACACAGACAAACTTCAGTGAAAAACAAAAAGTCATGAATATTTGTTTACAGGCACACTGTCATCTAATATAAACGGCAACTTGTTCTTTGGACAAGCCTTAAAAAGGAAGCAATTTGTAGTTACTTATATATTTATGAATTCAAAAAGCCACAGCAGTGGTCCACAGATAAGGGGGGAAAAAGTAAAAAATTAATCCTACTTCTTTAGGCAGGGCCTATTTATTTTATAGCCTGTCAGACGATAAACCAATTCTGCAGAGGACCTCTAAGAGACATGATGACGTCGAAATTAAATACTTATATTTTAATAGGACAGACATGGCAAAAGCCCAAAGAACACTCCAGCATGCCAGGAACAAAAGCAAGCGTGGCATGCAAGGCGCAGGCAGGCACATGCTGAAAAAATAACACAGCCTCACAATGGACAGTCATGTTAACCCAGGTCTGGCTATTCACCATGAGGGAACACTGCAGTGGCTACAGCTGCAGGAGATACCCTTGTCTGTACACGGGTGCACTGCCTTCAAAAACCTTTCTGTGTGTGTTGGGACTGACTGTTGATGAGGGAATAGTAGGGCTAAATATACAGGATATGAAAACAAAAATAACAGTGACAGTTATTTCCTTGCTTGTTAGTTTACGCACAGGTATTAAACACAATTTTACAGCATTCTTCAGTAAGCGTTAGCCAGTAAAACTATACTGATTTACAGCAACTAACACTCTAGTATTCTACATAGAACAAGAGTCTGGGTTAAACAGTGACTATGAAACTTTCTTCTGCCATTTTACTTGGTAGTAAGGATATCTTCAAATCTTTTCCTTCAGTCAAGCTACAAAACATTGGTCTTGTTTTTGAAACTGTTTGTCCAAAGTAAAGCAAGTTGTATCAACTTGATACCTCTCTGTCATGGATTTTTCTATTTCACACCTATGCTGGTTATCTTTAAAAAAAAAAAAAAAAAAAAAAAGGACTCTGACTGTCACAAATTGCCAAGACACCCAAATCACTTCGCTCCTTTGAAAATTTTACAATTAGCTTGGCTTAGACAAGGATAGTAACCACAATCTAATTTAAAAAAAAAAAAAACCACCCCACAAACCAGAATTAAATGTCTGGTTGTGGTGAATAATGCTCATGGACATTTGTTTCCCCAAATTATGATCCACAGGACCACAGTAAGTGATCCAGACTGAAGTAAGCAATTTCTAAAAAACAAACCAACCCCCCAAATTCTCAAACTTTAAACCAGAAGTATGAGCGTTTGGTGTATACACCAATTCTGAGAATCACCATTTTGAAGTCTGGGAACCACTGCTGATGCATGATAGCTACTTATAACTATCAAATTAGCAACCATGTGATGCAGAAAGTTACATAGTTCACAAGAAGTAAATACTTGAAATATGTCTGATAAAAAAGCAAACTGCATAGACTATTGTGACTAGCTTTTTAATCCCCAAAGAAAGAAAGCTTATGCACTTACATTTCATCATCATATTCCTTTGGAGGTGATGCTGCAATGACTAAGTCAATCCAATCCTGAAAAAGAAATGCACAAGCAAAAACATGTGCTGCTAAATACCGCTTTTAAAGATGGTCAGTGGACCACCATGGAATATCAGATAGACAATCAGGAAGGCAATCTGTTCCCGGAAAACCACAGGGAGCAACAGAAAGGTGTCTGTTAAAGACTTCTATAGGAAGACCATTTCAAGACTGAGCTGTTTGACTTGTAAAGAAAAATTTACTGGCCTCACAAGCAGCTTTTAAAAATAATTAATCTAAAAATCATCCTGTATTTGGTCATCTAGGCAATTAACACAACTCTTGATGAGAACACACTCACTGTAGTTGAAGTGCATTGTTACTTGTACATTAAGAAATCAAAGATACGATAAGCTATTTTCATGAAATTCCAATCAGCTTGCAAGTCATTTTCAATACCAAAGAGCAATTCTACAGATAAACATACTATAAACACTCAGAATGTAATGTGTTTAAATACCAATCTTGACACGTGGCTAAATGCCATGAACTTTCACAGTAAATTACATACAGGATTTTCAGAGATGCTCTATATCAATATCTTCTGCAGATTTCAGCTCACTTTGGTAGCACATGACATACCTGTTACTTTTGATGTTTGCAATCTTATTTGTGTTGATATGGCAACATCATGAAAGAAAAGTATATGTCATATGAGCATTGTAGGTAGAATGAAAAAGTATTCCAGGTTACTTACCCCACCCATGTTCCAAGCTTTTGCTAGAGTTGCCTGTGCTTCTGTCAGCCTGCTGTCAATTAGTATCTTGCCGTTTACAGCCAGTATTTCATCCCCTTTCACTATGCCTCCTGGTGAAAACACCAATATGGCATACATACACATAAGCAAAAAAAATTCTGTGAGTCTTTTCTGTCCCATAGCTATGCAGTACTGAGTATAACAAAAAGTGTCTTCACTAGACGGGAAGGCTTACAATAAAATTGACATAAAAAGACAGTTTGCTACAGACAAAAGCAAAAGGATTTTTTAGGCATGGAGAAGCCACACTAATCTCATTGATCATGATCAGTAAGAAACTAGTTCAATAAGATTTTCTATAGTAGCAGTCTGCCTGTCTGGATAATCCATCTATACTGCTTACAAATTGTGGATGATTGTAGGCTGTTAGTACTATGAAAATGGCAGCATTACTTAAATACCTGAAGTTATAAGTGGCATTTGTCAAGGGTTTGCAGGACTGTCATTCCTTGGCAAGAGCACGTGTAATGTTTAGTCCTTAGAACTGATTTTGACTTTCTAATCTGGAATGAAGTACAATTAGCTAACTGGAACTGGATTTGAAGAGGAGAAAACACAGATGGTAAGGGGACAGCCTCACAACAGTGAAGAGTCAAAGAGAAACAGAGTATTTCAGAAATCAAGTGGCTGAGATGTTTTCATAGCAAGAGTGACTTGAACTTAGGTGCAGGTTTGGACAAGGTCAGCAAAGACAACGTAAGGAGATACTGTCCTGGTCATCACCAGGGTTCTCAAGGAAAGGATGAGAGATACTGGCCACCAGGAGCAAACCCTGGATGTGTTGGTATGCATATTCTTGTGCCTTCCAGAGAGCTAAGCTGTTAGTCAGAAGGCTCTGGCCTTTAGTGGGATTTTGGCAGTAAAGCCAAGTGTTTTACAAAACAAATTACTATTTGAAATAGTATTAAGAACAAAACTAAGCAGTGTAGTGTAGCTATGGTCTAGTAATTGTTTTGCACATAGAATTACTACAAATGTCACTGCTTGGAAATTGTGAAGTATTTTACTTTCCTTAATTAACAGAATACCCCAGAGAATAATGTGCTGGGTTTTGGTAGGCTGGGTTTGGGGTTTTTTGTTGTTGTGGGGTTTTGTTTTGTTTGTTTGTTTTTTTAGGGAGTGGGTGTGGGTTTTTTTTCTTTTAATATCAGTCTGGGAAAAGCACCCTTCAAACCATGAGCCTCTCTCTGAGCTGCATTTAGAGCTGACACAGAACTTGGCTGCCTTGGACACTCTTAAGGGTGCCTCTCAGTACTAGGCATAGCTATGGAGTCAGCTAACAACTCTCAGACAGCATAAGGAGTCGCTTTGCAGCAGAACTCAAATTCCCCTTTGTTACTCACCATGTTTGTCTGCAGCACCACCCTCATAGATGGCAGACACGACTATCTTTCCAACTGGAGAATCAATTCCTCCCTCAACTGCAAGGTCTAAAGATCCTTCCTATTCAAAAAGAGTTTTATTTCAGAAAAGGTTGTTAATTTTTGCCATCAATAGGAGTTTACTCTTTCCTTCTTCCCAGTATATGGGACTGTACATGAAATGTTTACATGAACCCTTTAAAGATCAATCAAATAACATAGTATTTACCTTTTTAATTCGTAATAGCCGTACATCTTTTCCCATAATCTGCTCTGGGGTAAACTATGAAAAGATACAATCATTAGTCACTTCCACATTGGAAACAGAAAACAATTAGGCTGATCTATGCAGTTTATTGGAGAAAAAGGGACCTTTCCCTCCTCCAAATTAGCGTTTGAGGAAGATCAGAACACCAGATCACTTTTTCCTGTACGAAAGCTCCCTTCCAACATGACTAGTGAAGACAAATACGCAAGCTCCAGCAAACCAACAAGCAAAAGTCTTACCCCCTCCCAGTCCTTAAAACCAAGGATGTGTTTTTTCCAGTGTATTTCATATTAAGCAGTGAAACATAGTTGAATTCTCTCCTTACCATTGAATATGGGTCAAAATCTTCCAAATATTTCTGGAAGCCCTGAAAATAAAACAATAATTAATTGTAAAAACATCAGGCTCATGCACATACTTAACACAAACTCCATTTTATTTATGAGAGAACATACAATTCTGTAAAGCTATGAAAAAAGATAGTAAATGGAGAAAAGCACAGAAAGGTAGCAAATAGTCTGTCCTGACAGTCAGAAAACATTTCAAAACCTTATGACAGATCAGAAGTTTGAGCTGGTGATACTACAGAGCAATTTTGAGGAAGGTTTATCACTCTGTCAGCTTTGCAGTTCCTCTCTACACCTGAGAGAGCAGAAACAAATCTTGAAAGCATCATGGGTAGGTATGTTCTGCCACACTCTTCTGAGCAACCTTTCTTGGGACTGTCACCAGGTTAGGCACTAACACAGGCAGAAATGACAGGATCCAATTCACCTGTCAGCAACACTACTCCACAGTCTGTGGGTTTTAGGACCCTCTTCCAGACCCCTGCTCTCCTCCTTTCTATGGAGCTTCAGGGAGTTGGCTCCATAACACAAGCAAATGCAGGACAAAAATTGATTTTGTTTTCATATGGTTCTGTGGAGGACTTAAAAGTTTTGGCAGGGACTGTCTGAAATGAGGAAGACAATATTGCAGTTAGGTAGAGCAAGTTTTAGGCTTTGAGAGGACCCACATCCTCTTAAAACTTTCAAAACCTAGTGCATTACCCTTTTCAGACCAACACTGCAGGCAAAAAAAGCAGGAGTTACCTTTGCTGCAAAGACGAGAGTTCCTCAGTCAGGAATTGGGAATCAATGGTGTTTGGGTGGTGGTTTCTTGAAGAGGATTAGGAGTTACTAGGTGAGACTGTACGAGTGATGCTGGAGATTTATAAAACTCTGCACTTATCCTGCGTGTTAAAGTAAGGACTTCGGGACTTAACAGAAATCTTTACTGAGGCACGTAGGTGCTGTATCACTTTGGTGACTTCAAGCTGCAATAACCTGGGGATATGGGAACAATGCAGAACCACACAACCCTTCACTGGCACAGCACACAAACCAATATCTGACACAGGCCAGCAGTTCAGTGCGTGATCAGGCTTGACATATTTATTATTGCCCTCTTTTCTACTGGATCCATATGATGACAAAGTCTATCCCACTCTCAGACTCAGCTAAGCCTTTTTCCACTTGTAAATCAAATGTACAGCTTAAGGTTCCTCTAGTATCTTTAAGAGCTGGCTGTTAAATGACAAAGTTGCAGCAGCAAACACTAACGCCTCCTCCTGTTATCTTTATCATCTCTCTCAGTTGCCTGTATAATTTTGAAATGACTACGAATGATCCTCTGGGGTCAGATCTCATCCTTACCACCACTGCCTCAGGCAAAGTTGGTGAGCACTACTACACAGGTCTGCATTAGCAGACTCTCAAATGTACAACAGTGCTGCCCATTTGTGTAACCACACTTGCACAGACCATGCAACAGTGGTGCTGATGACTGTTGCGTGGACCGGCAGTCATTACACACAGGCATACTAAATCGTACAGCGTGAATCCTAGCTTTCCTGCTGGCTGCCTCTCTCTTCACCCTTTCCCTAAGATCAGAAGACCAACTTAAGCCAATCATGTCCTCATTCTGTGTTTCTTCTGTCTCAGAAGAAACATTTGGAAGGGTTGAAGCACGACTTTGTCTCCCGAGGCTCCAGAGAGCTAAATCTTCTGGGCACAACCGCAGAACTTTTGCTTTCTGCCACAACTGTTGTTGGGTTGGTTTGTTTGTTTTCATAGGGTTCATAGGTATTAAAAGCATCTTTTGGGAGTAGGCACATGAGAGACCTTATTTAGCATTTAAATTAGTACGGGTTGCATTACATTTGTTAACTGCTAACTTTGAGGAACTAAGTAAATGGCAATTCGATCACAGATTTCACAGACTGCAGCAAGTGTAGAATTTCATCTTGGGGGGGGGGAAAACCCCCAGTCATTCATTTACAAAGTGTATTAATATTACAAATAGTTTTTCTAGAATTGTAAGAGAAACATTTTACAATGATAGCTACCTAAACAAATAATAGTTTGAATAGCTGAATTTGTATTGACCTTTGGAATCACAGCTGAAGTAGACATCTATGGTCTTGGAGCAAGCAACTTAGAGGAAAGAACTCTAATCTCAGCCAAGTCACTAATTCATTATGTAATCTAAAGGAAGTCATTGAACTTTCTTTGTCCCAGGTTGCCCTCATGAAAAACAGATGTTGCCCTTGAAGAAAGTTTTCCTGGGAAAATAATTTTTAAACAGGAAAAAAACCCCCACCCTAAAAACCCCACAACAAAAAAACTTTGCAAGTGATACGATCTGGATCCAATAACGTACAAATACAGCTATGAAACAATAAAGATATCTGTTGAACTGTAATAGATCTTCCCAGAAATGGGCATCACAAATTTGGAAAGCAGAGAGTGCACCCCATATCCAAGCAGGGACTAATGAACCAAGCAACACTGAGTCAAAACCACAGTGCTAAGCCTACCCTCCCACTGCTCAGGACATCTCAGGCAAAAGAGCTAAGACCACTCTAATCCTTTCTTGACTTACAAGAACATTCACAGAACTGAACATAAGTAGAATCTGGGACATTAAATTGTTTGATTGCACTGAAACAACTATCTGTCTGGACTTCCAGATGAAAAGTAAAGATACTACTTCAAAAAAGAACCAACCCAAACAAACCACAAGGACCTAAGCCAATGGTACTGCTCACTGAAGTTTCTAGCATCAATAGTCAATAGCAATTGAGACCGGACCGAAATAAACAAAAAAGAATTAAAAGAGGAACTTGTGACCAGATGTAACAAAATTTTCCAAAAAAACCACATTTACTGAGAACACAACTGTTATATATACACAACATACTAACATTCAATGGCAACTGAACATATATATCAGATAAATCCAGTCTTCCCTTCTAGATCTAGATTGAAACTCATCAAAAGAGGAAAAAAATTATTCATCTTAATGGTTTACCACTCAAAAGCTCACACTGTGAGCTCACAACTGTGTGCCAGCATTTTCATATAACATGGCAATGCATCCAACTTCGGTGTTTTGCACAGAAACCGGCACATTTAACAGGAGCAGAGAAGTTAAGCACAAAGTTCACTTCTTCAAGGGACCATCTATTGGACCATCAGTCAACCAAGAGAGGAAGAGATGAAAAGTTCATCACTATGACAGAGGAAGTAAAAGTAGTAGTAATACAGGAGAAAAATCCTACACCATACAGAAATACTATATGAATAAGTGCTTTCCACCACCAGTTCCTCTGATTTCCTACCAATAACTATGTTATGATAATATCTCTATTTGTTAAGCTAAGAAAATATTTTTATTACTGAAAGCATTGCAACTGGAGACTACAAGAAACAAGGAAATGTTAGGAATATTAAAAAAAATAGTAATTTGCCTGTATCAGGTCAGTTATCAGTGTTTGACTGTCTTAAAGTTTACACTAACCATATAAGTAGTCACAGATGGTTCAACGTGAAGGATTTACAATCCTCTCATTCTTTATCTGTCTAGACTAGTAGCAGCCACAGGCACACGCTGAAAGTTTACAACAACTAGCAGTTTTCATGCACTAGGGCTGTCTGCCATCCTCTGCTTTAGAAAGTGACAACAGGATTAGAAAGGAAAGTTTTAAATCTATGATCAGTTAAAACAAGAAGAAACACACAAAACATGGAAAATGTTATTTTACTTGTTTTTTGTTAGATCTAAATGATGAATTGTAAACCACCATCCTTTTAAACATCTCTTGCGGCTGCAAAAGAGAGAAAATTGCCAAACCAGATATTAACTTTTTGCTGTAAATAAGTGTCACCTACTCACAAATAATCTGCTTTTTTTTTTTCGCTCTTCTAGAGACTGAATCACACTTGTACTTGTTAGTGCTTGTTCCCTATATCATTTCAAAATAAGAGAACACGCAGAGTGAAATAGCACTGAATACAAAGAGGAAAGAATTCTAGAAAAACTACATAAATAATGCACATTTCCATACCACAAGATTTTTAAAAAGTATTTTCCATGGTTCCTTTTATCCCTAATTTCTACAGAACAGTGCTGGGGTCTCTTCTCCATGATTTTGGAAAGAATAGTTGAAAAAAAACCAAAAACACCAAAACAACCACAAACCCCACCTGGAAAAAATGCTAGGCAAGTAATTTCCAAAATATTGAAAAGTCATGATAAAAATATACGTTACACATTTAAGATTTGCTCTCCTAGCAACATCCTATACTAAAAAGTGAATTCCATTATTAAATTCCTCATGAAGTTGATAAGCTGAAAGAACAGAAATGTATATTTGGGCTCATCCTGAAAGAGGCAATTACCTAAATACCAACTACTACTACAGGTTCATTCTACATAAAGAAAAATTCCTCCTGAATTTAATTAACTTATTTCTGAGTGGTCTTGCTTCAATTTGGGTATCTAAAGTATTTTCACACTATTGATTAATTGCTGCTGGATTTTATTTTACTGTGTTGAACTTCAATGATTTTAATCCCATATTGATTCTGGATTTTGTGCTTCCAGTGCATTAACAAAATGGTATACTGTAGTTTGGAATCACTTAAAATGCAGAACTTATTATGTTACAAAAATTTTCAAAAATAAAATGGGCTAAAAAAAAATTATACAAAACACTCCTCACACCTCTCCAGCCTCCACTCAAACCCCTGCATCAAATCAGGTAAGGTATTTGAGTCTTCTGAAACAAAACTAGAACAAATTTCTACAAACTAAACTATGGTATTTACATTTCCAAACTCAGTTTGCTTTAAACCAAATGACTATGTATCAGCTTCGCTATTGATTCTATTAGTGTCCTATAGTCCTAACGTTAGTTGAAAAAATATATCTATTCCTGAATTAGTGAAAGATTTGTGGTCTGTGTTTAATTAATACAAAGACTGAGGTTTTGTCTTGAAGGACTTTTGGGCAAGTCTGGCGAGAGAGGGGCTGAAGAGTTTTCTGGAAAGTCTTGCCACTTAGAAAAAAAACATTATTTCCTTTTCAACACAGAGGGCTTTGGTACAGCTATGGCCAATAATAACTGAAATTTCCAGTCATTGCACGTCTTACCACAGAGTGGTAAGACCGCACATCTAAACACCTGAGGTCCCTTGACCGCAGTCAGGCTTCAAATCCTGCAAATTAGGGGAAAGCTTAAATATTCATTTTTCCTTTAAGAAATGCTGCACCCAACCACAAAGGAGTGAAGGGGAAAAAAATCCTTAGTGTACTTAGCAAGTGCATCAAAGTCTTTAACTCACACAACAGGATGTTTGTTGGGAGAGCAGGTACTAATGTTCATGTTGGTTTTGCTTCTCTGAAAACCCTGCCACTAAATCATAACAATCCTCTCCTGTTCTCTGAGCCCAAATTTAATTAGCTTTGCCACAAGTGTATTCCAATTCACTCTAGTACAGCAAACGGTTCACACTGATTTTGACCCAGAGCAGCCCTAGGCATGCAAGGCCACACTCAAAGTTCAGTCCTCACCCATCATTTCCCTATACACGAGAACAACTTCATTTTCATGAACTGTTAAAAGACCTGCGAATTCTGACCAGAATTCAGTTAATATGAAGACTTAAGTCACAACAGAAACTTCATTGTTCCTATCTGGCCGAACTACCTTCCAGATAACAGGAATGTTTTGCTCATTCTTGCATTTTCATTTTATTCTTATGTTCATGCTTTTTATGTTCTTTACTAGCGAATTGCTCAAGTATAGGCTCACTTGATTAGCCGTTTGAACCAAATCCATCAAGATCAGTTTCCAGAGTTTGGTACTCAAGACAACTAAATTCAGACAAAAATTAAGGTAGAAGGAATTATGTGCATTATGTCATATTAAGGCATAAAAGACCGGAGTTCCATAAGCTTTGTGAAACCTATCAAGACAAGAAATAGGGTAGCAAAAGATACTTTTCCCTTTGGTGATACTTCCCTAAGAGAAGATGAACAGGTCCTGTATCTGAATCATTGCCTAAAATAAGGAATACTCCTCAATCCCTCCTCCCCCTCCCAATAGAAATAATTTCTTTCACATGAAATCAAATTATAATTCTAATACACTTCTGGAGACAGGCAGGCACCTCCTTGTCTGTTTTGTCAAACGCTGGCCTTTTCATTTTTTAAATAATAGAAGTAGCATCCCTCTTTACACTGGTATCCATGCAAGTGTTTCTCCACATACTGCTGGGGCTTCATTGCAGCCAGGACAAGTAATCTTTCCTGTGTTGTCATAAAAGGAAGTAAGAGGTAACAAGTCTACAGAAACAATTTATAGACTGATGTTTCTCTCAAAGTCCTATCAGAATATTGCCCCCACTAAAATTGTGATGATCTAACTAATATAAGGTAGTTTGGGCATGAAGATGATTGACATCCGAAACATTTTAGCAGCCTTGTGATTTGGAAAATGTGCGTGCATGCATAACAAATCATAAGAAATTTCCCTATAAAGGTGGATCTTATTACCAATTTCTCAAACTAATTGTAAGCAGTCAGGAACAAAAAAACCCACAAGCAACATTTTCAGTTTGTACCAAGACTCTCTCATCACAGATAATGGTACTATTAATTTTGCAAACTAGTTTATATTTGCACACCAGGCCTTTATTTTCAAGAGCTAGATTATATTAACTGCAGATTATGATTTTACTCTATTCATTCCTCCCCTAAGGAATTTCAAATTGCTTAGAGATGCTGAATTACTGAACCACAACCAAAATGAAAGCTCCAAAGCTCCAATACATACAACTGAAAAAAAAAATCTACACTGGAGGGTTGTGAATTTATTTTTAGTTCAAGTACCTGCTTTCTCTTTAGCAACTTATAAACACTGCTTTCATTTATCATTTCAATCCATTTATAATATAGATGTTTCAAGACGACTATGTCTATGGGAAAATGGGTTATAAGTATCACTAACATTTTTTCAAACTGTAACTGGGAAATAAAGGAGCAAGAGTATCTAAATTATTAAAGCATAAAGTGACAAAAAAAATCCATCCCACTTTAATAAGAGATAGCTAGGAATATTGTGCCCATCATTTATTGTCAGATATAGTGTAAGCTTGTAATCAAATAAATTAAAGAGAAAATGTGAAGTATTTTCCATCACTTAGAAAGCTCACATGTTGCAATACACTGCCTTGTAATGTACATGTAAACACACGTCCACACACATGCATATAATAGACACACAACTCTAATTGTAACAGCATAAATCATTATGACCCTGGAGAATACATACTACTAATTGGTCCATCAGCTATCTTAAATGAATTTTCAAGGCTGTCATTTGGAAGTTATCACCTGTCAGAGCAGTATTTCTCTTTTCTTTTCCTTTTTTCTTTCTTTTTCTTTATTTTTTTTTCTTTTTTTCTTTTTTTTCTTCTTTTTTTTTCTTTTTTTTTTTTCTAGTAAGCCTTGGCTGACCTTCCCTCATATACCACAATGCTCAAAGATGTTACATGGTTGGTCCTAAAATATTTAGCCTAAGGGGTTTTTCTTCATTTATATTTGAAACAGAAATGGAAAAGAAATAAGAAAAAATCTGATTGTGAGTCAACTTCACAGTAGTACTGCATGACCAATATGCTGGGAACTTTTTTCCCTCTGGAAATTAAATGATGAGTTAGATATCTACATTTCAAGTATGTTCATGACTATTTACAAAGGAAAAATACGTTGTAATTAATTTTTACTATTTAATTTCTGACAAAGGAATTCAGAAGTTATAAAAATACAAGCCAGCATGTGAATAAATGAAAAATAAGATCTACAGAGTCCAAGGCTCTACCCTGTTCTGGAATCATGCACCCCAGTACAAAAATTGTTACTATGACTGATTTCTAGATCATGAAAAAAAAATGGAAAAATACCCTTTTGTACTTACCATTAGTGATCATTTGAAAATCTACATGAATTTTAGTTAGAAGAAAATGAAACAGGCATTGATTCTTTGAGGACAAGTCAACAACAAATCCCATGCTACTGCAGCACTCAGAAAAAAGAATATTCAAAAGGCTTACCAGTGCCTCTGATTTGATTGTTGGCCTGACCATAAAGTTTGGGTCAGGATGCAGCATGACTGGTTTAGAGACTATTGGTACCTCTGGATGCCGTCGGGTAGGTGGACTTGGAGCAAGTTGCTATGGGGTTAATTTAAGAAAATGACAATTCACAACCTAATTTGTGCAAATCCATCATTTCACCAAGATGCCTCAACACAAATAGTTTATAGTAATGAATTTAATGACACTAATACAAAAAAAGGCTTACAGAATTACTTTAGGATTTAGAAAGTTAACAAGCCAAAACATAATTTCTTTTGTATCTAAATAGTAGCTTTTCCCCCTACACTCTGACTTCACTAGCAAGATTCTAGAAGATTATCATCCCTGCTTTTGGCATTTATCCATAAAGGCAGTGAACTGAATGAGAAACTACAGGAAAAAAACGCTGAAGTTGAGTGTAAGAACATTGTCAACCTGAAATGAGATTTTAACTAATCTATGGCTAAATAGATATTTTAAGATGAAAAAGATCAGGACTGCAGAGATCAGTTTTCCATAAAGCATTTCAAGTTAACTTATCTTGACTTAAGAGCAAGAGTTAGTTATGCTAATTGCCTACCCTTGACTCTACAAAGTACAGATACCCAGAGGCATCCGAGACTTAATCATTCAGCACATACTAACCCGATTGTACACTTCTTAGTCAAAACTCCCACTGACGTCAAGCATAGTTTTATTCAAGAAAAGAGTTCAAAACTGAACCCTGTGGATTTAGTTTCTGACATAACCCCAGCAACTCTCAGAACACTCTTGTCAATGTTTCTCATAGGAAATGTGATGTATTCCAGATATAATTCATATAGTACAAGCTGTATCCTCTGCAATTATTTGAATTGCTTCCAGCAAATTAGTTAAGCCACTTTTTTTTTTCCAATAGGGGAATTTTTGGGGTGTTTTTTGTTTGTTTTTCATTTTTTCTTTTTGCTTTTTTAAATAATTAAAGAAAAAAGTTTTGGAACCAGATCTTTGAAAGTCCCCGTGGATATCCCTCAACTAATGTTGATCCACACTGCAAAATATATTGTATCATTAAGTTTTCTGATCTTTGAAGAAGCAGCAGGTTCACAGATATCAACTCATTAAACCTGCAATGGAACTGGATGATTTCTCCTGAAGCTGCACAATTTAGAGACTTATTTTCTAGGGTGCCTCAGATTGGCGAAACCTGACATCTGGTCATCCTGAATCAACATCAGTGCAGAGTTATCAAATGTTGGTTCTTCTGAGAAGAAAGCTCCCTTCTGACCACCCATTATGTTTAAAATACAGTTTGGTCCTATCTCCTTTTGGATGTCTTGACAAAAGAACAAAGTATATGCTCCATGACATATAGGACATGCAAATATGGACCGTATGTTGCTGAAATGTTGAAATATGAAGCCCTCAGACCATTAGGAGTCACCTTCCCTACCTGGTATTAGGTATTTTGTAACACAGCAACGAATCCACACACATAAATGCAAGTGCTAAATTTTAAATAAATCAGCCATGCAGAGTCAAACTCTTGACATTAGCATTACACAGGAAGTTCATAAAACTACAGTTATTATTAACAGTACATGACATACCAGTGGATTGCTTGACACAGAAGATACTTTGCCGATGTGGGAGGTGTTTCTTACAACCTAAACAGTAACAGACTTAGTACTGTGTCCATATAAAGTATATAGCTAATAACAATTTTGAGAAACAGATCAATTTATACCAGATGTTTTAATACTTAGTTGTCAAGAATGTATTCGACAGGATTTCATTCCTTTTGTCAGGTATTTCTTCAAGCTGAATTTGAAATTAAACAATCTAGGAAAAAAAAAAACTTAGCAACATAGAGAAAATTTACCATTCTGAGTAACATTAGAAAAGTAAACTTATGGGACAACAACAGTTGTCTTATTTTTGGCTTTAGAAGGCATAAACACAAACTCTTTTATCACTGAAGTCAAATAACTGCACTGCTTCTCTGTGATATTAAAATCCACCAAGGACAAATTGCTCAGCTTCTGATTTTTCTTCCATGTCTAAAACCACATCAGGAATACTGGGTTATCTACCTATAAACAAAGCAGCTTTGACTGCCTATTAATGCTTTACTAAGAACTTAGTTCCTTCCTCATATAGACTAATTACATTCAGTGAAAACCGACTTATTTTTGAAGACTAGGTTATTTTTTGTTGTTGTTGCCAAATTTATTTTTCTTTAATTATTAACCTCTTTTCTCTAACATATCCAGCAGTGAAAAACTGCCAGAAACATATATTGAAATATATGGGTTTGGGGACAGACCCAGTATGGGAGTTCCTACAGTACTACTTTTATCTGGATATTTTTTATTAGCAATAGGAGAATGTATTTCTCCTCTGAATGCTAGTATTTTGTACACTTGTACACTTTTATTTTGCAAATAACCTGGAAAACCTGTTATCCATAAGAACATCTGATATCTCCATTTCAGTGGATCAGCATATTCTTGGCACTTCAAACATGTAAACCACACAGATCAAGCACTATCAGACATCTACTTAAGTTTATAAGAAGAGATTCATAGTTCACATTAGGGCAATTATTCACATAGAAATAATCTGCCAGTTTCCCCTAATTAATTTGCATATCCTTCCCCACCCTAATCAGAATCATGCAAAAGAAAAGCCTAGTATTTCCAAGTAAACATGCAAAAAAAATGAAAATCAAGAATGCAGTCAGTCAATCCATGCAGAAAACTGTGTAGGAAAGAAGTGACTGCATGGGATCCTCTTCCGCTGTTTGAAACAAGTAAGAATCTTTTTGCCAGAAAAACAAGTACATGAATCCCAGTACAGTGCTTAGAAAAGGATATTATGATCAAACAGCTGCCATTTCTCTCCTAAAGTGAGATCTGGCACAAGATCATTTAAAAGTATTCTACTGGTAATACACACTGTGTTGATGTTTTAAAAATCTGAGCTTCTTATTTTAAACTAATTTTCTTTATCCAATCTTCTCATCTAACAAAGCAATTTGATGACATTTTTAAAACACTTTCACAAGTCATTTTCACTACACAGATATTTTTCTCAAGTTTAACTATGAGTAAATCTGCCACTTGCCATTCCTATTTTAAAAAAAACCAAAACAACTCAATTCCAAATTGTCTTTTTAACTGGTACATTCTGCCCAAGATACCTGCATGTGGTAGGATTACAACATATATAGGGAGAAGAGAGCAAAACTCTCTCAATTTAAATTTTTTTTAAAAAAATTTTAAATAAAACTACCTCTGGACTGCATTCACTACTGTGAAACAATGAAACCATCTCATTTCTTCTTTTAACATTGCATATGGCAGATGGGTAGATCCAGGGGATAAAGTGGGTGATGGAGCAGGGGAAGGAAGCGAGGCAGGGGAATGGTAGAGGCACATGCATTCAAACAGATCATGAGGTCACCTGGGAAGCTGGTGTTACTGCTAGGGCTGGACCTCTTGAAAGCGGAACATTTGGTGTAAGAAGTGGATGAGCTGATGCTGCTGGAGCAACAGTGGGTGGTGGTGGTGGAGGTGGCACCACACGTTGTTTAGGCTTGTCAACTTCATCTAAGTTTATATCATCAAGATCTGTGGTATGAAGCTGCAGGCCACCGGCAAAACGCCGCATTGATGGGGCAGAAGGAGAAGCAGAAGGAGAAGCAGAAGGTCGTCCACTTGCCAACTACGTGCAACAGAACAGAAATCTGCCTTAACAGTTCATCTGCCTGCAACAGCTCTGAAGAAATTAATGGCAAATGCTAGAACATCAGTCAGCCTAACTGCTCCTGCACAGGAAGCTCTTGGCTGCTCCTGCACAGTATACACATAAACTTTTTCTCTGAAAGCCTTTTAAAAAGCACTTCCTAGGATTCCAGTTTAAAAAGAAGAAAATTGCAGTGCTGTGACAGTAACCTTGGCTGTTGCAGCAGGAGGAGATGACACCAAAAACCCAGAAACCTGCATGGAGTCTTCAGAAGGTAAAATCATAGGACAAATCACAGATAACACAACTCTTGCCTCTTCTAGGTCTTATGAAGAGAAAGCAAGAATTGCTTCTTACGAGGGTTTTTATATAAAAAGAAAGTAATTGAAGACAGGCTCTGAAATTCCATGCCATTAAAAAAGGGAAAGGGGTTAAAGTCTGGTGTAAACACAACCAGACATTAATACAAGAGGGTGAAGTAAGTTTAAGCAGCTATCAAAACAAAGAGTTTAGGGTGCTATAAAATTTAGATCCTCAGGAGGTTCTGGACCTTCTCATTTCTGTTAATCAACACCAGATGCATTGTGGGGCTAACAAATTCCAGAGTTTGAACATAATGAACAGCTCACCCAAAAAATAAGTTTGCGTGCATGAAGAAGGATTCTACATATGCTGTTAGAGTCACTAACGTTTCTCTTATCGGTGATCCAACTGAAGTATTTAAGAAAATCCAGTTCATACTCTTTCATTTTGCCATTTTGTAGACTCAGCTGAGGAAATTAGAGATACGAGCTGCCATACAGACACATGCACCTTAGTCCAATATGATAATAATTCTCTCAAGTGGATATCTCTGTTGACATTCTTTGGGAGCTCCTCATCTGCCATACTCACCCCCTAGCTCTAAAAAAACAAAAGGTATTTCTTTGGCAGAGGTCAAGAGATCTTGACTGCTCTCGTACCCGAGTAGCAGTTCAAGCCTGTAATACCTGAATATTGTTCAGCTGCATTTATCCCTCAGAAGCATTCTGGTTTTGTGTTTTACATTGAGTTTAACTGCTTGGGTAGTTTTGTAGAATTATAATAGAGTATTTATATATAATGTCATAGAAGAATTGACAGAGCAAATGCAACACAGAATGCTTGTCTTAAATCAGAGTACAGCTCCGGAAATACAGCAGTGATTTTAATCTGTAATGTTCCCTCTTACTTTACAAAAGTAAGGGAACAAAGATCTAGCAGAACATAGCCAGCCAAATTTAGGTAGCGAGAGAAAACCCAGTATAATCATTCTGTCCTAGAGATCTGCATTTAAGAGCCACATGGATCCAAGCCTGAGGCCAGGAAGAACAGAAGACCAGCTGCTTTTTTCCAGAGCTGCTCCACATTGACCTGAAGGAAATTCATGTGAGAGTGTTCCCCAAGGGTCCCCTTTGTGGTTGCAATTTCTTGGGGATCCCGGGGGAGTTCAGCAGATTGCAGTGTTCCTCTTGAAAGCAGCTGTGCTTGGAAGACAGCCAGAGCAGCAGGACGGTGGGAAAGCCTCACTCTGCATCTAGAACCATCAGGCTCTAAGGCACAATCACTATCTGCAACTCCCATCACTTAAGGGGACTATTTAAAACTCAAAACTGAACCCTATTCTTTGTGAGTTTATCTTTTTGTCATTTTCTTAACCTGTACCTTTATTCCATGCAATAGAAGGAAGCATCCAAGAGCTCATCATCAATGATGTTCTTATTTGCACAGGATACTAAAAAATATGCCTGGGTATTCTAGTCTCTAGTCTCACTCTAGTCTTTTCATTGGTAGCATTTCCAACCCAGCCCAAACAGCTCATGAGCCAATAAAATTGTTAGTTTTGTGGTGATAACATACTTAAAAAGGACAAAATAAAACTGGTTCATTAAAATAATAAAACAATTTCTGTAAAATAAAGGAACAACAAATGCTATAGACTGTAATTCATCAATTACTGACATTTTTTTCCCCCTCTTAGAATGAAGGATGAGAGGGAAAGATGAAGACAGATTTTCCTCTGGTAAAAAAATGTTGCTTTTGGGAGAAAGCTAGTGAGATATTTAGAGATCATGCAATACATGGAGAAGCCAGAATTTTACCTCAGGAGACTCATTCTCCACAGAGGAAATCTGTTCTAACCGTGTTTGACAAAGTCTTTCCACCCAGTGCTGCACCTTTTCTGACTCTTCCAGGTCTTCTCGTTCTGTCTCAGATACCTTAACCATAACATCAGTGCATGAAAAAAGGTTATAGGTATAGTCACAACACAAATATGTTTCAAAAGTATGAAATGCCATTTAAATGAGTTTTAAAACTAATTACACTTTTGAGAATGATTTCCTATTTTGCTGTCTTTCATTAGATTCATCACCACAGACAGACACTCACTAACTGCAGATGTATCCTCATTTGGGCAAAAACTGACTGTAGAAACAAGCTAACTTGGGAACAGAGCTTTGCAGTGCAACAGCAATTTTTTTTAAACTTCACTATCTTTGACATAATTAAACAAGTGTCCTGCTAAGATAATTCCACTAAAGATTCAGCTCATTTTCTTTCAATATAATTTTGCACTTGATAGCAGAACACAACATACCTCTTGCACGAGACGATTTATTTTCAGTTGTTTTTCTTTCTCCAACATTCCTTCTTTCTCTTTGGCAAGTTTTTGCTCGAACTCCATTTCCTTTTTATTCTTCTTCTGTTCACACAGACTGTCACTTTTTGACTTCTTTCGCTCTTTTCCTTTCTGGGAAGTTTTGGTGGTTTTTTCTTTTTTTTTTTTTTTTTTTTAAACAGATTTTTACATCAGCTAAAAACATGGCAAACCTCTCAGTACATGAGTGCCTGCCTTAAAAATTTAATTACAGTCTGTGCAAGTATGGGGATGGTCTTTTAAAAGAAAATCTAAAGTCCATTTCCCCAGCAATTTGCATGAAATTATACCTTATTTGGACAGCCTGTGCGTATTAACATAAGCAGGACAAGATTGGACAGTTCAACTTTTTTGCACCTCTGCAAAGTTACAACATCAGGGCACACAGGTTCACTACAAAACTTTGAATATTCAAACAGTTTTGGTTAGTCTTGATTTGCCATCTCTCTGTTCTGGTATTTTTATATTAACACAAGACTGATTGCTTTCAGGTGACAGATGCTCATGTATAGGTATATGTGAATATTCTATGCATAAAAGCATCTTCATGCATATGTCCTAAAACCAGCGTTGCATGCCTTAACACAAATGAAATACGCAATTACAAGGGAAAGGCTTAGATCAGTACAGAAACTGAATTGCTCACAGGAAAGAATACTGCATCACAAAGACCAAGTAGCTATGTGAGTAAACTAAACAGCACAAAGCAACTTTAAAATTTTACATGTAGAGTGCAACCAAAGGAGAAAAAGACCCAATTTTTTTGGAGCCTCTGTTCCTGTTGCCTCCAAAATACACCCTGCTCCTTATTTCTACTCTAACAATGTCATATTTCTGCTGTCCTCTCCCATTTGTAGTGGTGGGCCTAGTTCATATTTGAAAGCCCATCCTCTCCTTTTATTCATCAAAAAGTAAAAAGGAGGAGCAGCTGGCCACTTACTGTCAATTACTGCCAGTACCCAGACAGGCTAAGCCTCGGGTTTGATTTTGCTCTGCTCATTATCATCAGCTACTGACTTTTCATGGTGGCTTTGGGATTTCTAAACATGAACATGCTTCACCTTACATAGCATTATTTGTCTTCATTCCACCTTTTACATACAATATTGATAATAAAGCCTTGGAAAACAGACATTTTCCCTGGCAGCTATGTAAGTCAATTTTCCCAGTCAAGTAGTTGGAACTTTGTACTGCTGAGTTCAGTGGGATGTTGTCTACTGCTTCATGGTTAAGTGGTGGTAGGGAAAAAAAAATAATCAGTAATCGTCAGAGACAAAAATTTTAAAAAGTTTAAGTAAAAAAAATCTAGCTTTTGGCACTAATGTTTTAACATAAACATAATTCTATTGGCATGTTTTATTCAAGGCTAATTAGTTTGTGCCTTAATAGCAATTGCTAATATTATCCCCTAATAAATTAGAGGACACATTTAATACTATCTACTAAATGTAACGTCTGGCAGGTCAACCTGCTAGGTATCAACATTTGAAAAGTTACTGAATTTAAAGGCCACTAAGCAGTACACATGCCAAAGTGTTCCAGAATATGAACATATATCAGATAATCTTAGCTGCATTAATTGCATTCAGATACAACAGGATGAGTCATCCTTTCCATCCATTTTCCCCATGGATTCAGTTTACTTCCTAATAAGGACATTTTTAGTACAGAGTGAAATTTTGGTTTTAAAACAAAACAAGCAATTAGCAGTTTGGAGTATGATGAAAATTCATCACTTCCAGCTTTTAAAATATTTCTAAAAGAGAAAGATTAAAAATACATCTTTTCAAGCTTCTAGTCCACACTGTGTAGTAGAGTTCAAGAGAAACTGGGTAAGATCTGGGTATCTGGAAGCTCTCTAGAACTATCTTTGTCAGCAGCAATACAGAAGATCACCTACTCGTGTGAAGAGAGTGAATTTTCATAACATGTATTTACACTTTTCAGATAGAAATTCTAACTGTACTGGCTTTCACACAAGATGATTTATAGTCGCTAGCAGTACAAAATGGTATTGGAGTGTACCATCATTTCCTACTCCCTATTAAGGAGAACAGGCATTTCCTGTCCATGCAGAAGGTTAAAGTAATAGTTCTAAATGGTGACACAAATACTTCACCTGTCAATACAAAACTGACCTCCTCCTCAGAAATGTTGAGTTCTCAGGAGACATACATATGAATTCTCCCTGACACTTCTATCTCAGTTAATTAGCATCAGCCATCACAAAAAAACCCCAAACCCAAAACACACAACACAACCACAAAACCCCCATAATATGGCTAATATACATTGAAAGAAATAAAGAGAATAAAACAACAGCAGGAACAAAGTATTATTTGAAACTCTAATAATGTGAAATTGTAATACTTTAGCAGCAGCTCTACAGATTTAGCAGACTCTAAAAGTATTCTATCAAGCTTAAAGATTTTCAATTGTTTTTCCTCATTCTGTGGGATGTACATTATTTTGAGGACTTTTGGAGAACACAAAGACATGCACTGCCCACCCACACTGAACACCCTCTGCAAAGTATTGACATACACTTCCCACTTCAGCTGGCAGGGCTCAAAAAGTCCAAAGTATTCAAAAGGACAAACTCCCAGGCAGATGTATCCCAAATGCATCCTTATTTGCGCACACATTAAAAGTAGCATGTGACTATAAAGAATGTCCAATAAAAACTGAGAAGAAAAAAGAGGAATTAAAATTGAAAACCACAACAAATTCACACCTCAAACTTTGTACCTTGCAGATTGTGGGAAATTTTCCTTCATACCGATAAAACCATCCCAAAGCTACAAAAAGGTAAAGGAAAAGGGTTTTTTTGAAGAAAAGTCAAGGACTGGTTCAGATTCAGATCAATCCATACCAACACACGTAACTGATTAAAATTTATTTGAAGGTGTAACACCAAAGGTTTAATATTACATAAGTTCTTAGACAATTTCTTGATCAACTGTGCTAGTACATTTAGTCACAAGTTACCCTTATTTTACTGATACACATTTTATGTTAAGCCAAGCAAACGCAACAAGTAATCTATGCATTGCTAAGATTTCTATGATCACAGTTCTACTTTACACTAGTTTTAACAAGCATTCTTAAATTGAAACAGGTATTCAAACTCATTCAAGCTTGTGGTAGAGCACAGCGGTGTTTGAGGAGACAAGAAAAGCTCTATTTCCTAGGATAAAATATTTCAAGCCCAGTGCAAGAATATTAACAAATACATTGCTAAGTAAAAACATATAAAAGAATTCATTACCATAATCTTACATAAGAAACACTGATAACACACACAACTCTCAATACAATCCACCTTTCTGTAGGATTGACAGATTTTGTATTTGTATCAAGGTATCTTTAGAAAGCAATGACAGCAACAGCATCATAACCTTTCATCATTTACCAAAGGACAACACACATTACCCTAGCAAAACCAAATGATCAGCTCAGCATCAAGACTGACTGTCAGGAGGAAGGGAAACACAGGAAGAATGTGAATCAGGATAGGAAGTTAAGGCTGAGCAGCAAACCTGTTTGTCTTGCTTCATGATCACTTCATCCATGTCATCTGTTTCAAGTTGGTCATGTGCAACTCCCTTTAAATCTACTAGAGAAACAAAGGAGGAAGGGAGTGAGGAGATAGAAATGACAGTCTAACTGGAGGTTCCCATGAAATGAAAAAGAGATTAGCAACGTGTGACTAGAAGCTTCCATGAAATAAAAAGAAGTTAGCAACAGGATATTTTTCCACATAATTGAAAAAAACCCTGAGTTCCTGCTTAAACCAAATCAATTTTCAATCTCCTTCAACCCTGAAGAGCAGTTAGGATCTGTATATGGCCAACTAGTCTGCTCTGTTATGAAGGGAAGCCTGCAGAGGAACATGGTTTTCCCTATAATTAAACCATCAGCAGTTCTGGGATATCTGGCTTCAAAAAGAATTATCAGCCAGAATACTACGTGCTGTCACTGGGGTAAATGCTGTACAGAGAAAACACTATCCTGAAGAATCAGAAAACTAAATAGATAAAAGATGGTTGCAAAAGAAACATTTCCCAATTTCAGTTTCTCATCCATGAAAAGTTAAGTGACTTGCCCAAAGTCACACAAAAAATAATGTAATCAGGTTAGGAACCAAACCCAAGTTTCCCTTAAGTTATGCAGCACCTGCTCCACAAACACCTTCCTCTTTTTCCTTTGTCTAATACCATTTTAGTATACTCTCCACAGCTCCCAACTTAGCTTAACTGCAAATTAAGCTCCAAGCATCTTAAATTCCTTTGGACAACTAGACTTACACTTCAGGGTAATCCCTCATGGAAAAGTTGCAGTGTACAAACAGTACCTCCTCAGTCTCTCGACTAATTCTGAAGCAGACTGCCCAGTGATATCAAATCAATTTTCAGGCTGTGCAGACTACAGCCTGTTTGTGAAAGACTTGCTGCAATGGATGAAAAGAGAAAAAAAGACAGGAAAAAGGAGGACAAGGAAGAAAAAAAGAGATAGATCCGGTAAGGAAAATGATAGGAGTGGAATAGAAAAAACAAAAAGGAAAAGGTGTTTCAAAGTCTACAGGTAATCCACATTTGAAAAAGCAGGATTTTTTCTTTTTTCCACTCTGACAGATAGTTTATTTAAGATACTAACAGAGCTACTACACACAGCACCTCACGGAGAAATGCCTAGATTTTGCAAATTCTTAGAAATGTGCTTAGCTTTCTCACGATTAGGTCACTAGAAATTGATTCAGAAGTTCTCATTGCATGCTTTTAATCAGTACACGCTTACGTATTTTGCTACCCAAGCTCTTAGCATGCAAGCTTATTTTTGCAATGATTGTAAACATCATTATGCCATTGTCATTTCATTTTCAAGATAGTTGCCAGAAGAGCATGAATTGAAGAAAGTGATATGCAGAAAAAAGATGTGGTAAATACTTTAGCCTGAGAAGGAATAAATTAGATGTGAAAAGCATGCTGGCAAGGAACAGATTTGTCAAAAGAACTAGAAAAAACACTTTAAAAAAAAAAATCACTGATTCTTTTCACCTGCTGTTGCTGATTGTTAAAAACCATGACTGTTTGAGTGGATGTAGATTTTGCAAGCTAGGTACCTGTTAAATAAGAGCTATTGAATTAGTCTATCATATGCTTCGAGCCTTCTGAAAATAACCAAGTCATAGCTAACTTTGCTTGGACGCAAACTGGTGATATATTCCATACAGCTCAGTGATGTGTCTGAAATAAATACTTTCCCTAGGAAGCAGACTGAAATCAATTACTTACTTTTGTGTTTAGAACGAGGGGTAGAGTGCACTTCTGCAGTTACAGTTTTGAGAGATTTGGGAGGTTCTTTAGGACCCCAGTCTTCTTCCCACTCCTTTTTAAATTTCTCTTCCTCTGCTGTTATTCTATAGGAAAAAAAATGCAGCTAGGAATTCTGAGTATAAAAACAGCATCAATATAAATTCATTACAATTACTTAGTGTTCAGTATATTTGTTTTTTCCTCTTTAATATAAAGCATAATAAACTGCCCTTTCCCCCCAAACCAAATTCTTTTCGTCAATCTAATTTTCATTTACTAAGCTACTAAGATAGATTGTAAAATACAATGTAACTGAGTAAAATATTCTTATTTAATATTGAGACTTCTAAGGCCAGTTATATAAACACCTGCACAGATATTAAGCCCAGAGAGATACATTACAATACTAACTGTCATCTTAACTGAAGCCAAAAACCATTTCTCACCTAATAACTTTTCATTTTTAGTACTAGGAAGTATCTTTTAGAAAAACAGTCAGTTTCAACTAAAATACTAAGTAACCAAACATCTACCACATGCCTAAATCAGATGTTACAATGGTAAATTATACCTAAAAAGTGTGTGTCTTATTTCTATATCTTATCTCCATTTTGATGATTGCTTCTTAAACATATAGTCCCAGGCTACACTAAAAAGTGACTTGAGACACAAAACACAATAAATTCAGCATTCCAGGAAAAAAGAAAAAACCAAACAAAACCTAAAAAGAATAGTCACACTTCAGGAAAAAGGAGATCATAAAACAAGTAGATTACCTAGAAGGCACCTAGAAAGGCACCGTGATAAAAAAAGCACATTGTGAAGGAAAATTCAGCAAATCCTAAGCAGGTCAAGAAGAGAATTGCTGTATAACCTAATAGCTTGTAGCTCCATATATGGTGCCTTTAAGTCATCCAAGATGTATTCTTGGCTGTCTCCTGTCTTGAACTGGTAAACTGATATATGGTACCAAAAATTTACCAGGTCTTAGATATATATACACAATGCTATTTATACTTGGATTATGTTTTGCATCTCTAAATTAGCTAAGGTAAATTTTAAAAATATCCACATGTGGTCAAAGCACTATTAAATCTGCTGCTGAGGTCAGTATTTAAATTTGGAGCCATGGTCAGTAGCAGGGAACATTGGACAGAATGTTTAGATTTGGTTTTACATTGCATTTTAATTAAAAAAAAAAAAAAAAGGAGGGGGTTACAATGTAACTTGAAGTACTGAGAGTTAAGGACTTCTGCCCTTTAGGCACATTTGAAATTTTTTCCATACATAAAATGTATGCAGGATACTAATAAAGGGCACAGTGACTTTACACAAGCAATGCCTGCAGAAAAGATTTTAAAAATGGAGCAAACTGTCATCCTCAAACTGTTAATACAGGAAAGCATTATATTCTAGTGAAATTGCCTGCCTGCAATTGCTTATTAGATCTAAGCTTTAGATTAAACCTAAGTTCCTATACTACCATCCTCCCTCCTCTACACCAAGGAGATCAACACTGACTTAACAGTTCAGATTGTAATACAGAAAAACTTTACAAGTGCCTGAGCAGCACCTGGAAGTTATACACGAAGTATAAAGATGTGCTAGACCTTACAATGAGCAGCCCTCTAGGCAGCCTAATCACAAAAGACCTTGCTGAGTGAGTAAAGATGCACTTAGTTCAGAAGGATACTGCAGATATCAAACATTCATTATAACAGACAAGCAATCGGGCTTCTTCACCTGTGATAGTCTGCTTTTATAGCAGCTTTTCATGGTTATTGGCACGAATTTCTACAGTAGACCACAATAAAGAACAGGATGTTATCTATTCCCCAGGAATTAGGAAAGGGCAATGCATAAGAATTCATCCACATGCTGCAGTACAGCCCACAGCAGGACTATCAGAAGATTTTTCTCTTGTGACAGTTGAGGAATAAATTCCTTTTTGCACCTCACAGATTCAGAAATCCCTGCACTTTTCCTGTCAGATAATTTTAGCTAATACACATACATGAAAAAGGGATTTAAGTGAATGAACGTGAATTAAAAACTGCTTAAGATGTCAAAGGTGCAAAGCTGAATACTTCAGGGTCAGTCTTAGCTCTAAAAGGCTGCATCAAAACAGATATTGTGCAATTTCACGCTATCTTTCATGCAATTGCCCAATATAATTTAGAAGGGAAATTAATTACTGTGATAACATGTTATACTGGTTAATTTTAAATTTTGAAATGTAAAACAATGCTTAAGTTACATTTATAGTACTGACTTTATTATGATACAATCTTTGAATGTGTCTAGTTCCTAGAATCAGATTAAAACCATAACAGACTGTGATAATAAAAAAGCCCCAGATTTTCTGAATAAAATAGGTTATAGAACTTCCTGCTTTCAGTGCCACAGTTTTAATTTAATTAATTCTCTCCTTAGAAAATGAAAAGCCTACTTAAAATTTATGACGACTGAAATTTCTACTCAAGACAATTAGCGTCACATAGTCCTTATTTATCTACATAGCTTTTGTTTTCAGAACTAATAGACTGAAAAGGCTATTAAATTGCATGCTGTGTACACTCTTACAGATCATGAACAAACTACCTGTGTTTTGTTTTTTTAAAATATAAGCTAAGTGCAAATGTCATCAAGTCCCTGAGTATACGCATGTTTTCCAGCCCTAGTCATTCTTCTCCGTCTCTTTCCTGATGCATTTTCCTGCAGTATTTTTTTTTTTCTGTTAGAATTAGATGTAGTGGTTCAGTGACAACAGAATAAACAGTTCTGAGATGCAGAACTTAATCGTAAGTTTCTCTATACATTTATAACATTTTTAAAATAAGCACTCAACTTCAATTTCACATTGAATTTATTATCACCATAACCCTCATGTTTTCCAGGTGCTGATTTTCAGATCAGTTTCCTGTTCAATATCTGTGGTGTACTTGCTCATAAGCATTGGACTGTACATTTAGCTAAATGGAAATATATACAATTTTATTAGAAAAGAATACGCAGAATGTTTTCAGCCAGACTTAATATATAGGGACCCTTTTTCAGGCAGCATATTGCCTGTGTAGGTTTTTACTTACTGCTCTATTTCTCTGCGATATCTCTCTTCTTCCTCTGCAGCCTTCTGGGAAATCTCCAGTTTTCTTCTACAATGAAAGGAATTAGGACACAATGATAAAAATAATACTTCCCGAGTAAGAACTTGCACAAAGTGCGTCAGCATATAGTTAGTAAAAGATATAGACAGTAAATACACATGCATTGGGGAAAAATGCATCTTTTAAAAAGTCAACTTTAAGATACCAAGGGTTCAATATACTTTTGTAGGAACCCTGAGGACATTCATGACCATCTGGATAATAAGGGCATATCATCTATTTAACTCTGTAAGTCACGATCTCCTCCTGAGACAGTTTCATTGTGTGTTATTGTAAGAGTATAAAGTTTGTAACTGTCCTGCTAAAAATAAAGGTTGAGGGGATGGCATCAGGAAAATAACTAACATCACATTGAACCACAGGAGTATGGCAGTCAGGGAACAAAATGACCCTTCTACTCAAGATGCGTTTGAATTATATCAGCTTTGGAAACCCAAAACATCAAGAGCACCACAGGATAAGGATTTATGAACAGAGACTCTGCAACAGCAAAATTAAGTTAATCTAAGTTGGGAATCTTCTCTCAGTTGTTCCTGTCTTCCACGCCCTTTCCAAATCCAAGCTAAATGTTTCAGACTGTCCTACACAGAGTCCTTACAATCTCTTTTTCTCTTGCTGCTCTTTGATGATTTTGTTAGTCTCCAGCGCAAGTCGCTTCTGATGCATTAACTCCTGGCGTTCTTGCTCACGAAGACGTGCTTCTCTTTGTCTGTCTGCTTCAGTCATGAACAGCTCCTTTCCCTGCAATCAGAACCGCCACCCAAATCCATTGTGAAAGTCTCATGAATGTAGTTCTAGGAAATAATTCAAACCCGATAACTACAGCAGATCTACCATTTCCTCACATTACTTTCTCTGAGGAATGCTTTCTGAAAGACCCTGAAAGATCTTATCATTTCATTTCAAAGAGCTACTCCAGTTTCATTCTCAAAGTTATGCGCTAAACACCTCGGAAGAGGCAAGCAACTACAAAAGTCAGCAACAACAGCGTAGAGGTCATGTCAAACATATGCTCAGTATGTCACCCAGAAGAAATGCCACATTATACTTTCTTGAAATCTAACTGAGCAATGCAGTGCTAGAGAACATCACATTGAATGAATCCCAACGTGGAAGACAACTACACATTAACTGCATTTTAATGCTCTTGTGGCTGCTGTGGAAATGTACCATCATTCAGGGAACCAAAATACAGGGAGCACACGTTGCCAAAAGATTATATAGTTTATGTGTTTCAGTTGGTTTTGTTTCTGTTCCATTTGCTTTACACTTAAGACACCAACACTATTTTCTATTCAAGAAAGATATTTCCACAGTGCTATCTGTGGAACACTTTGATAACATTTATCTAATTTTCATTACTTAAATCAAAATCCCATGTTAATTAGGAAGGCAGGACTTCTCACATCTCTAAGGCTCAGCTCAAACAAAAACAGACAATGAAGAATGCCTTTGCACCACGGTCTTTGCTGACCAAAAAACAAGAGTGGAGAAGCAGTTTCCTTTTGCAACCTCTTCTTCAGTACAAAGATGAGTACTGAGGAAAGAAGAGACACACAAGGTGAAGTAGGATGGAGCAGAAAAGTTCTACTGCAAAAATGTACCATTTTAAGGATGGAATCCCAGTGGTACATGCTGGAGTAGATCCCATCTTTTCTAACAGTTAGTAATGTATCTGGGAGTTGAAACTAAGCCCTTAGGATGTTGAATTCCTGAAGCTTAATCAACGAGTCTGGAGCATTTGTTTAAACAATGTCTACAATATCTTTGGACAACTGCATCTTTTGTTACTGTAAGAGCAGTTTAATTAAATCATGAATTCCTTAATATGGCTACACAGTATACATGAGCCCTTAGGAGGTAGCTTAAACGATTTATTAAATCTTGTTTTTCCCTATTTAATTCAGTTGCAAGGCAATTAGAAAATACCATCTTTGATTAGTCTGTGGAACTTGAGTATCCTCTTGTACACAACTATACATCTTACTATAAGAAGGATTAAAGCAGCAAAAGCATTAAAACATTTATTGAAAGCCACACTGAAGTCAGTGGAAAGATTTAATTAATTTCAGCTGGCTTTAGATTAGGCCCAAAAGGCATATAGTTCTGTTGCACAAAACAGTGGAAATGGAAAATTAAACAATTTGCAGTGTTTTGATACATTAAAGAGGTCAGAGAAACAGTTGCACAAGAAATTAATCTGGAATAAGACTACACCATCAGCTATTCATGAGGAAAAATTTACTCCAATTCACCTTTCATGTTTCAGAAGAAGCAATTATCTATTAGAACAGAAGCTCTCAAACATGAGAGACCAGTACGATAAAATTAATTTTCATTCCTTGTCAAGGGAATGGTTTTGCACTGGCCCAGTCATGAAATGGTTTTATTTGAGAATACTGTGGATAGTGATCAATGAAATAATCAAAAGCCACTCAACACTGTCCTGGTTTCACAGAATTCAGTGGTATATACATTATAATGAAACACAGCTTTACTTCTTCTCTATTTATTTTTACCATTTATTTGCCCACATAGTAACTTTCATAAATATTCTGCTTTTATAAATATACTACTTACAGCGCCTGCTAACACAGAGATAGTCAAAGTACGACTACTTTTGAGCACTCTGACAGCCTGCAAATTAAAGCAAAACAAAAATCAGTCTGAATTAAGTGATAAAAAGTCTGTGTATATAGGATGAAAGATGCTGGTTGTCAAGGCTGGAATTTCCTGAACTAAACAGAGCGGTAGGAATTCAAATATCCAAATTCCCATGTTCAACACACAACCTCTTTGGTTAAGTAGCCCAATATCAAAACATATTTTTTGCAGCCAGGAAATCAGATAGATGCTTAATAAGCTGACAATTACATATTCAGGGAATTAGGAAGACTTGATCTTACCTCTTTATGATCCACATTAGAAAAGTCCACTCCATTTACCTCAACAATCTGATCACCAACCTAAAGGAGTTAATCCAAATTTTAGTACAGATGCTAAATTAGTACATATATTAAATGAAAACAGAAAAAGATATATTAACATTTTTAATACAATAATCATAGGTACTGGCAGACTACAAGGGGAACAGACCAGAAACCGGCCAGGCCTGCACATCCTCCCATATTAGCATTTCCTATTGCCACTGTTTGAGTCCAAATACTGAGCTCGATGGTCTGTTGGTCTGACCCAGAAAGGCACTTCTCATGTTCTTAAAATTTAAGAAACTCACTTCATTTGAAATGTAACCACACAGTATTTCTTTCCCATAGGAAAAAAAACCAAAACCCATAGCTAGTGACTTTATAGTAATCCAGAATCCTTGAAGTAGTAAGTAGCAAACAAGCTTTCCTTGTTGTATCTACCTTGGAAGGTGACATACTTACCTCTAAGCCCACCTCTGCTGACAGAGAACCCGGCTTAACGTTGCTGATAAAAATGCCTGGTTTTTGCGTTGGACCACTGGAAATACTGGTGTAATATAAAAAACAAACATTTATAGGATAATATTAATAGAATAATAGAGTGAGAAATCTTAGTTGTTTTTTCATAGTTTGTTTCCAATTAAAGAATGTTTTTGTGGTATTAGCCTACTCCGAAACAAACAGCAAAATTTGCCAGTACACACACGGTCTATCTTTTATAACACAAAATTGTGATTTAAGAAAAAGCTAAAAGAAAAATATTCAAGCTTCTGAATTTTTCCTTAGATGTTATTCCTTGTGTAAGGGACTGGGACACTAATGACATTGGAAAGTATGTAACACAATGAAGAATTACTCATTCCTTACACTTTTTCTCACTGAACTGCAGTCTACTATATATATAATACAATGCTATTTTTCAGGATTATTTATTAGGAGAAGGATGCTTCAACCAGGGGCAAACATCTAGCCTGAAAACTTTAAGCTGCAATCTAAGCTGGGCCCAAACACAGTAATCATTTTTGTAAATAATATATCCAGCAGGTGATGTTGATCCACCCCTCCAGGTTTGTAGATAATTTTTAAAAAATCTTTAGATCTTCCAAATAATATGAAAGAAAACTTATGCTTTAGAAAATACTCTGTGCAGTTCAAACTTGATAACTTCAACTATATATTCCTAAATATATAAGAAATCCTACAATATCCCTTCTACCCCATAATCTCTGTAAACTAGCTGCAAGAACAGGAGTCCGAAAAGCATGTGTTCATATTCTAAAAATCTTGCAAATTCAACCTTGCTTTCAGGAACTAGATATAGCTGTGTGATGGCTTCTCAGTTCCGAAAAGTGTCACAGAAAGCAGTCTAAGTTCAGGGACTGAACCTGACAATGGACAGTGCTGAAACTTGCTATGTCAGAGAGCAGCATTTAAAAGTATTTAAAATGTAAAAGCATTTAAAAGATCCAATTCTACAATAACTTGTAATATGTCACTTTTAGCCTGCTCTTATTTTTAAATTTAAAAGACTTTTTTGGCTTTAAGTCAACTTGTAACACCTCATGCTTTGTCTGGTAATACATAATGTGTGCCACAGACACCTTCCTGTTTCAGTTTGCCTTCCTGATTCAGCATGGATCTCCATCATATCCATGAAGGATGGCAAGAACTGCCTTGGATGTCCCACTTAAACCAGGGACATTCAATAAGAAGCATGTACCCACCTGCATCCCATGCCTTTTGTACCAATCAAGCTAATGAAGACTTTCTTCTCTTTACTGTCTCTCCCTCCAGAAGAAGCAAGACCAGCAACACTGCCCTTTCCTTCCTGTAGAGGGATTAAAAAATGCTGCAGATGTTACTCTGTGTTGAAGCGGTATCAAGACTACTATAAAACCTCGTGAAGCCAGGAACAAACTCTGCCAATATCAAGATAAGATTCCTCTGAAGTCCTAGTGGAGATGAATGTGAAGTACAGTCATTTCAGTGGAGCTGCATGGCTGAGGTGAAATACTGAATTTATTTATTTGGAGAAGATTGTTTAAATAGTCAAATTTTGTCTTCAGAAAAGGGTGAAGGTAAATTAGGGGAAAGTGATATGGCAAAATAATCATTTAGATGTTCCCTGACAAAAGATCTGGAAAAAATATATGACAGTGCTCACTATTTAACTAAGTCTTTCTTCTTGAAAGCAAAGGAATGGTAATTGTGGTCTTTCTTTTCATTGCTGCAACCCATTGAAGTCACTTGCATTCATACCTGGCATTTCTTGGCTAATAGAGCTAAAATAGGCCAAATAATCTGTTACAGATTTATATAGTAGAACTACAGCCTGGTAAGCTAATAAGCTCAAGCAAAATAAAGTACCAATTAACAACTAAAAGATACTTCATTTGTATCATGCCCTTTCCTTATCTAATGATTCTAGAATAATTTCATATCACAAAAGATGTTTCTCCCAGAACACTCGTAACAAGATATTGCATAATAGAAATATGTACAATAACTTCTGTGGTAAGCTCTGAGGATAAAGTGTTTCAGAACGATTACAGATTTCCCAGAAGATATCTTAATAAAATACTGATCCCTTACCCCAGAGTCTGATACAAATTGATCCACATATTGCCATTTAAGGGGTTCATCTGCTGAACTGGAAGGAAAAAGTAATTTAAAATAATGGTGACAAAATAAACGTGAATTTGTTCAAGAAGCTACTCTGGAACGTGGCCTCCTATTTTGCATCCACAAGTTTCTTTGGATACCATTCGCAACAACTGGTTTACTTTTCAGCAAAATAAACAGAACATCAAACAAGCATACATACAATTATTTAGGTTAGCAAAGCTGGTCAAATATAAAATTGAGAAAACCTCCTCAAGTGAAACACTTTTGGGAAACTAAGAAAAACTGTGAAAATAATCATAACAACTTGAACAGCTTATATAAGTGTCTATGGGGAAACACACCTCCCATCATTAACGTGTCTCAAACATTCCCCTTAAAGTTTCAAATTTTCAATAAAAATTGGAAGAGAAGAATAATTTGAAATTTTTCTAAGCTTTGAAGCAATCCTCAAATGTTATGTACATAGAGAAGCAGTGGAGCTCTCTGTTAAGCTAGGCGCATTGATAATGAAATTTCCAGATAATTTCCATCAATAATGAGGAAACAGAAATTGGTTCCCTTAAGCAGGCAACTGGCATAGAAGTCAGATTCATTAAACGACATCAGCCTGTTTATCACAAAGGATGTGCCATTTTAATCAGCTACAGAGATGCCCATTCACACATTTTCAAACATACAGATAAACACAGAGGTTCTTTGGATACTGAAGAGGCTATGTAAAAATGAATAACACTTTTTTTTTTCCAAATTAAATATCATTACCTTTTGACAGGTATCATGCCAATATCTGAAAAAGAAAAATACTGTGTTAAGTAACACTTTCTACAGATCACTGGCAATCTATTAACAGCAATCTTTAGTGATACTGGTGATTTTTGATACTACTTACGTCTTACTTTTATGGACACTATTTTCTTTGTACGAATGAGGTTTATGACTTCTTCGTGTGTGCATGATGAAATGGAATATCCATTTATACGAACTATCTCATCTCCAACCTCAAAAATGAAAGGTAGAAGAAGATATAAATAGTGAATTAACATTAAAAAGTTTTTAAGCAACGATGCAATCTGGCAATCATTTTGATGCAAAGGTTTGCTAATGTTGAGTTCTGAATAATTTTTGAATTTCAGGTAATGTCCAGATCAGATTTACCTGTATTTGTTTGAACTTAGTATTTAATACCAAAAGGGCAGGTTAACAACCAAGTAACAGTTTTATAAATAACATCTAGCAGAAAGTATAAAAATTAGTGTCTTGTACACCACAGATTACCTTAAATAGAAGTGTCCATATTTCAATTTAAATAATTTTGGAGTAACTTCAACAGTTTGTTTTTACCATACGTTCTCTGAGATACCCGCTTAACTATTTTGATCAG